AAAGGAAGGGAAAAGCAGGGATCAAAGGGCTCTCTGACCGCTGCTTTTCCCTTTTTGCTAAGCCCCGTGGCCTCGCAGAAGGCAGGGGAAAGCGGCTGTCAAAGTGACCACCACTTTCCCCTGCCTTTTGCAAAGCTCTGCTTCTCCCTTCTTTTTTGCTAAGCTTTGCAAAAGGCAGGGGGAAGCGGCAGTCTCTTTGACAGCTGCTTTCCCCTTCCTTTTGCAAAGCCACGGAGCTTAGCAAAATGAAGGGAAAACGGGTGGTCAAACGGCTCCAGCAATGTAGGTAGCAGCAGCAGGAGGCAGAGACTGAGTCAAAGAAGCAGCCTGGCTTGGCTGCCTCTCGCAGCTGCCCATTGACTGCTGCTGCTGCCATCCGATCACAAGGAGACAATCGCTGGAGGGGGCAATTGGGTGGCGGCGGCAGCAGTCAATGGGCAGCCACGAGAGGCCGCTGAGCTGGGCTGCTTCTTTGCCTCAATCTCCTCCTGCCGCCTTCTGTGTATAAATCAACCCTCAATTTTTCCTCTAATTATATTAGGAACAGTATCATTTTATACATGGAAAAATATAGTAATCTTAAACTGAAAAGCAGATGGCAGCATTAATCCTGTTATGCTTTTTTAACCATACTTCAGATTATAAACCGTTCTACAACAGAACTGCCACTTACGGTGTCCTATGATAAAATATCCCTGGGAAAACTTAGATTTTGGATCCACATGCAAGATGCTGTTTACTCCCTGCAGCAGTTTGGTAAGCTTCTGTTTCCATTTGATTAAAGAGCATAATGGAGAAAATTGAATTGCTTAGAAAAGTTTCTGACATCAGTCCTGAAGATCACAAGTGTTTGTGTAGATGATTTTCATTCCAGGTGTTTGGTTTTGATACTTTCAACATGAAGAACACCATGATAAATATTTTGAATAAATTTGTAATCTGGAGGCGATAGAAATGTCCTACTTCTTTCTTATTTGCACAGGGAACAAATATGAGAGTAAAACTCTTCCAGGTCTGTGCCACTTCAGCCTTCAAATTTGGGGTTGACATGGCTGAATGTTGCGCCGTATAAACAACAACATGAAAGTAACCAAGATGTTGAGAATATGAGTTGAAGCCTCACTTCATCCCTTATGTGCTAGGGTGTTTTTGGTTTTAGTTTTGATTTTGGTTTGGTATTTTGGCCCATTTTTATTGGGATGTCATTGTACTCTGCGCTCCATGTGCAGATTACTATGGCACTGAGTATGCAAGAACTCAGTTTTGGCAAAGTGTTTGGAATCTTATCCTGTATAGAAATAATGTCCAAAACGGGTGTAGTCCAAAGAAAGTGGAGATTTTTCTGTTTCGTTCAGCAAAAGTTGAATTGCACTCGGTTGCCAGTATCCCAGTCGTATCATTCCAGTTGTACAAGTTTGGGTAACATCACCTTTTCCAAAATGAAAGCAAGGGTAGTGATGGATTGCAGTTCTCACCATCCCTGACTGCTAGCAATGCTGGTTGAGAGTTGCAATCTAGCAACAGCTTGAAGGGCCACAGACTGAATGAAAAAGCATGAGTTATGAATATCACAAAACTTGGCTGCTTAGAATACTAGGAATTACTGATTTAGTTTTCTGATTAACCATATAGTGGCTTCTTCTTCTAGGTTTTTCAGAAAAAGATGCTGATGAAGTAAAGGGCATTTTTGTGGATACAAACCTCTATTTTCTTGCTTTGACCTTCTTTGTTGCAGCATTCCATGTAAGTAGATCACAGACGCTGTATGATAGCTATCTGCTAATATGGAATTGCAAGAGGGCAGCAGAGCAGGAGCAGGAATTTCTCATGGTTTAGCTTGCACATAGACAACATGTGGGCCACACTTGTGTCCCTCTGGTTATTCATGTTGCCCGCCTCAATTTTGGTGCTGGAGTGTTGTCTTACAAGTCAATCCCTATTTTATCCTTTTGTAATCCAGAAGCTAGCCTGACCCTTTGCTGTTTTTTTGCTCCTGTAAGCAGCAATCATCATCTGATGATGAGAAATTAGTGCCCTCCTATAGGTTGTGTACACAACCAGGGCCCTTCTTCTCTTCAGACATAACTGCTCCTCACATGCATGAAGTAGTTAAACAGGGACTAGCTTCTCCCCAATCTTGTTGATGTTTCTGAATTACAGAATGATGGGATAGGCTTCATCTGCAGTCTGAAACAAAGTGTCTTGTTTTAGAGAATGATTATTCTCTCAGAAGCATCTACATAGTGAGCTTCAGCATCACTCTTCCACCAGCGATAGAAGAGCATAAAAGATTCTGCTTCCATTTTTAATCAGTTTTCCCATTATAGAACTAAAACAGTTTGGCATTACATATGAACTTGGGAAATTGTGGCTTATTCTTGTGAAAGCTAGTTAAAACAAGCAACCTAGGAATGAACTGGGTCAGAAAAAGAAGCCAAAATGCATAGAGAAGTTGAAAAGAAGATGGGTGCTTAAGCTTGAGAGCCTATGGCTCAAATCCAGTAGTAAGTTGCAACTAAACTAGGCCTATTGAATCAGTGGGGATTTGGTAAGTCACACCTTCCGTGAGTTTCCATGGTTCAATACAACTAACTCTAGTTGTGGCTTACTACTGGATTTTGGCCATTATTTCATTCACACTCATGTGAACCATAACCTAAATATTTCTATTTCCATAACCTACAAAAATTATATAGTATAGCAGCAACACTATTTCTTGAGATATTCTGAGATATAAATGTTTCTGCTTTGCGTTTAAGGCATGTATTAAATTTTTCGGAAGAGTTTAATTCAAAATTTGTCATTGGAAATCATAAACTCAGAAATCTACAAATAAGCAAAGGTGCATTGTCATTAATTTCAATTTAGTGCTGATTTTATAAAAGATCCTCAAGGTCTGTGAATCTTTTGCTTTGTTTAAACAAGATGGGGTGTTAAATGGCTATTCAGATCAAACACATCCTATTAAGTGAGGCTTGAAAACAGTCTCCTCATGGCAAGTAAGAATTAGGCAGTTCGGCAAAGCCGCCCCGAGTAGACATGGTCTAGAGGGACGGGGTATAAATTGGATGGATGGATGGATGGATGGATGGATGGATGGATGGATGGATGGATGGATGGATGGATGGATGGATGGATAGATAGAAAATAAAGTAGCATTTATAAAGAGGAAGGTTTTAGGTTTCATTTCTTCAATGCTGTTGGAAGGTCACATACCTAGCTATGTCTGGTCAGGTGGCTAGTAAAAAGTATAGTGGACATATGCCCATTGTGAAATTGTGATTATGCTGCTCCCTTTTAATGGCAGTTCTGGATAACAATGTGGTGATGTTTGACTTATGCAGTCTCTCTCTCTCTCTCTCTCTTTCTCTGTCTTTTTTAATTCATTTTCTATTGGGCCAAGGAAAGGTCATAGAGAGGGGGATTTGGAATAAGATACTAGGGTAAATAATTATTACTTTTACCAATATGTTTACTTACTAATCTTTTGCAGCTTCTCTTTGATTTCCTTGCATTCAAAAATGACATCAGCTTCTGGAAAAAAAAGAAGAGCATGATTGGCATGTCTACAAAAGCAGGTATGACTGCATTGATTGACTTGATACGTGGGGAAGGGTGCCCTCCCCCTTTGGCTCCATCTTTAGATGAATTCTTCCAGCAAAATGTCAGCAATATGAGTTTTGAACAAATAAACAATAGTAGCTGCCAGAAATAAGTGAAAGTATAACAAACACCTCAGTATTGTTTTAAAATGGTTTGCTTAAATACTTGCTAATATCACTCAACAGACAACAGCTAGGAAGCGGTTACTATCAGACATGGGATATTCATATCCCTGGGGTTACAAATACAAATATCCCATGTCTAGTTACCATCCATCCCCTTATCACTGAGAAGCACATCCAGAATTCATATGCCTCAGAACAGGAAATCCAAAATCAAACCACTGCCATCACCTTATCGTGCTAAGTGAGAAGGGCTTCTTGCAAATGCTCATACCATGTTTTGCTCATCATACATGCAGCAGTGGTTTTTCTGCTGCATTTATGTGGGGTGTATTAGGAAGAGGTGTGAAGATTTCACGTTAGGGTATTTTTCCCCCGCATGAGGAATCCTTTCTTGCAAGCCAGCCCTTACTTGTTGTTAACAGATGTTTGGGGCTATATGTTTTCCTCTTGTGATCCACAGGGGATTTTATTCTGCTTCCAAAATTATGACATCTCTCTCTCTCTCATACATTAGGGCTTGTGAGCAGAATCACAGTGTAGAGTGCATCAGCATGCACCTTGTTTCTGCTAATGATTACCCTGGTCACTAGTAATGTCCTTCTCACTGCAGCCACATGTTTCCCGGGCCTTGTGCTAGACTGTCTTATTGGAGTCAAGACAGGTTACACTGTAACCGTGACAGTTCTTCTGCCTGGACTTGTAGAAGTCTAACAAGCGATTGTCATTTGTGAAGCACAATTAAACTCAAGAGTTTTCCAGACTGTAGAGTTTTCTTCTTGTAAAATGCACAGTGTACTAATACGACTTCCTTTTATACAGTTCTTTGGCGATGCTTCAGTACTGTGATCATATTTCTTTTCCTCTTTGATGAGCAAACAAGCTTGTTGGTGCTGATTCCTGCTGGTGTTGGGGCAGTAATTGAGGTGAGTTGCTCTACACCTGTATGTGTTATGTGTAAACATAGGCAGCCCAGTTCTCTTGTCAAAGCAGCTTAGTAAAAATAGGTGGATTTAAGCTGACTTCATCCAATTTACCTTAATAGGTCAAAACCAGCTTAATTCCAAATGGTTTGTCTTTTTTAACTGGTTTGAAGGGTGAACGGATGGTGATGATAGAAACCAATTTAATAACTAGTTGTTGACACAATACCTAAAAATCTTAAAATAATAGCTTGGTAAAAACTGTTCCAACTGTTTGGGTTGTATGTTGAAATAGTTTAGGCATTGTTTGATCTGCAAGGAAAAAATTGTAGCAAGAAAAAGCCAATTTAGTAATTTTGCATGTTTATATTTTGCTTAATTTTTTCTGCTGTTTTTGCTCTTTCATTTACTTTGTGATATACTGTATATTGCAAGTCATAGAGAGGAAGGAGAACTGATGCAGGAGCAGCGATAGCTAGAATGCCCAATAGTCTTTGCTCAACACACTGCCAAACATATCTTCACACTCACAAGGGCTAGAAATGCTATCTTCTTCTTTCTTTCAGTTGTTAAAAATGCAAGGCTGAAATCTGAATTTACATGTTAACTTTTATGGTCTGCCCCTGACCCATGAAACTGGCCTGCTTCTGTGAACCTGGGAACTTCCTGGTTTCAACTGTAATGACCCATGTTTTGACTGCCTACATTTTGGGCTCACAGAGGTAGCTCCATCTTGCACTGCTCACTAAAATAGGTCTCTCGTTTGAGGATAGCAAGGGAAGGAAAAGTATGCATGATGAGGACCAATGTATGAAACTTGAAATGGAAAGTTAAGATTTTTGTATTCTTTGGTTAGAAAATTGTAATGTTGAACTTGAGTGATCCAGAAGTGCGGCACCAATGACACTCTAGTTTTTCTGAATACTTTGAGAGCTCCTACGAGATGGACAAGTGTATTCTTTGTGAATTAAAGTACATATAATTTTCAAAATGTAGGATAAAAAATCCAGTGAAATATTGAGGACAGTTGCACTAGTACTACAAACCTTCTGCTCCAGGCTAAGGGCTGAGATACACTAAAAAATGTAGGCTAAAACAGTGAAACATTGAGGACAGTTGCACTAGTACTACAAAGCTTCTGCTCCAGGCTAAGGGCTGAGATACATTGCAATATTTTGTTACGTGTTTACATTTTGTACTAATTGTTGCTTCCAAAATGTGGTTTCACTGCTCCATGGTCACTAGTCTGAGGAGTACAAGACTGATGTTCTTTCCAGATTTTAATTTATCTGTGTGGCAGTTATAATTAAAGTATCTTTCCATTAGTGCCCCCTTCGTTTGTGTCTGACACTTGAAAATTGTTATTACCAATAAGATTCAGATTATAAAACAAGGCAGAAATGTTCAGTTTTGATACACCAAGGTGCTAACATAATATTTTACCTTCTAGCTCTGGAAAGTGAAGAAAGCATTGAAAATGACAATTGAATGGAATGGTCTGAAACCAGTAATGAAGGTACTGTCCTGGTGTTTAGTATATTTGAATCATCTCATGCCATTCAACACCTGTTTTCTTCTGGAAGATTACAATATGTGAAACTAAGGACCAAAAGATAAACTCTGTGTGAGATCTGTGACTATAACTTGTGACACCTTTTTATTAAACCTTGATAAAAGTTGCAAGGAATCCTCAACTGAATGAGTTGAACATACCGTAGTACCTCGGTTTATGAATGCCTCGGTTGACATAATTTTTGGTCTATTTTTGGTTTACAAACAGAAATCCATTGAAAATAATGCCTCAGTTTATGAATATTTTTTTCACAGTAAGAAGCAAGTTTCCCCAGGGTGCATAGTGCCTGGAGGTTTATAGTGCCGCCCCCATTCCAATGGCAAGCTGCATTTCGGTTTATGATTTTTTTGCATTACATAATGTCCTGGAGAACACATAAATCCGTAAACCGCCTGTATTGGTGGTTCATCCTCACACCCTCCACAATATTTTAAAATAAAGAGTTACATTGATTTTAATCTGTAGGCTAGGAACCTTTGTATATATACATCGCACTGCATCCAGATGTACTACAGGTGTTGGGGGAGCAGGCTGGGCAAACGTTGACTACACTTCAACAATGTGTATTCACATTGATCCTATTCAGAACATCTGCAGATATGTTTAACTAAAGATAATATATCTTCTGCATTCCATATAGGACTAAACAAGAATGATTTCACCTGTGGTAATTTAACATACCTTTGTGTATCTGCATGGGTGGGGAGTATCATATATTCCGGCACAATAAACAAATCATGTTTTTTATGTATAGAGGGGAGTGTACCCTTCTCCCTTCTACCTGAAGATTAAGAATTACATGTATGAAGGGGCTGGAAATAAGTTATATGTTTGAGTCTATTTGTTTGTTTATGCATAGAGTCAACCCTTGACTTACAAACTTAATCCGTTCTGGAAGGAAGTTTTAAGTCGAAAAGTTTGTAAGTCAAATCAGCATTTCCCATAGGAAAGCATTGAAAACCAATTAATCCGTTCCAGCTGTTTTTGGTTCTTAGGTCAAGGTGCGGTAACCCCCCCCCCCCCGGAATGGCACAGAACCCAGCAACCATTCCTCCAGCATAAAAAGACTCTAGATCCACATTTTAAGCACAGGCACAGACATTTTAAAACAATGCAAGACCCATAGGAGCACAGAAACATAACCCCCCCACACACACACACAAACACAGCAAGGCATAGCAATCCAGCAACCATTCCTCCAGCACAAAAATGCACTCAAAGAATATTTTCTGATTTTAAAAGACTCTGGATCCACATCCACACCACAAGACCCATAAGAGCACAGAAACATAACCCCCCCACAGCAAGGCATAGCAATCCAGCCACCATTCCTCCAGCACAGAAATTCCTTCCTGAACAAACAGCATATGCACTCAAAGAATATTTTAACCACAGGCACAGACATTTTAAAACACTGCAAGACCCCCACACACACCTAGCCCTACCCCCCCACCAAGCAGCAAAAACCCCTGTACAGTACATACAGTAAAGTAAAAATATACATTGTACTCACCCAGAACAGGCAGTCGCTCTGCTTAAAAAAAGAATGTCAAAAAGCAAGTGAAAATGTTCATAACTCAGGCCATTCGTAAGTCAAGGGTTGACTGTATCTATAATCCATTCTTCAAATGTATTGCCAAGGTGGTTTGCAATAACACTAAAAGCATGGTCAAAAGTAATACACAAATAAGATAAATGGAACAGAACTGTTGATGTAGCATAAAAATAACTCAAATGAAAGCGATACATCTCCTGATTATTTATTTTAATAGACTCTGGAACTCTCTGTTGCAAACATAGCAGAAAGGCTGAGAAAATTTGAAAAACACAGAAGTGACCAGTCATAGTTGAATTCAACACTTAGGCTGCTGACAGGAAAAGGATTGTTTGAATTTAAGTCCCAGTGAAAGATAAGCTTTTCTGTGATAGAAAATAATTAACAAATAGTTTTTTATTTTATTTTTTACAAACCTGTCTGCAACCAAAGCAATATTCCTCAAAACTCATACCGAGCATAATAGAATTTTTTAAAATCTGACTGGAAAACTATGCTATGCTCACCTTTCCTATATAAAACATACGAAGTGGTATGTGTCTTTCTTTGTTTGATACATGTTGCAACCCCTTTCCTTTATTTTGGTCATTTAATCAAAAGGACCAGAATATTAGGACATGATAATTTTTATATTTTATATGCAAATTGTAGTTGGCCTATAAAATAGGTTTGTATTTTGGGTTAGATGCATCTTTCATATGAAAGAAACAACTTCTTTTTTAAAAATCAGACCAACTTTAATCCATTTTAATCTTTAAAGTATTTGAACAGATAAAAGTCTCTGGTTTAAAGCTAGGTGATATCTCATCTTGGAAGACTATTGTTTTCCATCTTACAAATATTGTAATCCATTATGAATAAGATTGATCATTCACATCATTTGTTACAGTTAATGTTAAACAAGAGTGAGCTTCCATCTGGTCCCGCTGTGCCCAAAATTGTAATGGATGTTTCCCTTGATCCTCTTTTGCCTTTACCTACTAAGTCAGCAATGCCATGTCATCATACTCCATGGAGTTCCTGGCAGCTATACTCAGTGAGGCTGTTTCATCTTTACGACATAACTTTGTCAACAGCATCATTTTTATTTGGTTATAAAGCACACTGTGCCCTTGTCCTCTCCTTGCTCTAAGGCCTCAGGTCAGCAATTAGTTTTCCTAGTAGTCTCTTCTGAGCAGTGATTGAGGAGTAACTGTTCCCTTGCTAGTGCCTTACTAACCTGAGATAGCCTGCCAGCAACTTCTGTTGCCCTTCCTGCCATTTTCCCCATGCTGCTTTAGCCTCTGGAGAGATGTCCTTCAACAAGCCAGATGTTGTTGAAGGCTCTTTGGTGGCTGATCTAAGCAGTGCGTTGCTCTCAGAGCGTTGCTGTGCTTTTTTTTTATCTGAAACCAAGAGTATCTGAAAACCAGAATTCCCTTCTGACACATTCAGCATGTGCATATTATTCCCCTGATGGTTTTTCCTCTACATTTTATACAGTTTGGTGCATTCACTGAATCTGAAAAGAAAACGGAGGAGTATGATACCCAGGTAAGATAAATCTTCAAAGTAACTTTTGATGGAGATGTTAACTGAGGAGAACAAATGTATTCACTGTGCAGTTTCTTAGCAATACTGCTGCTATTAAGCCACGGCCAAGCAGTATATGTATAAAAATGAGTCTGCAGGATAAGGATAGGAAGGAGCAAGAGCCAATATTGTTGGCACTGGTGATAGTGTCATAGTCTGGATCTCTTTCTTAATTTCCTAGTGGCTTAATATATACAGCTGGATTGAAGATTCAAGGAAAATCCTTGGAAAAATGTCCAGTATTCACAGAAAAGATCCACAGCAACTCCTTGAATAAACTGAAACATCTGAGAGCAGTTTAATGCATCTGAGGGTATTTAAGGTAGCACAGATACAGATGTCCGGGGAAAATCTTGTGGAACCAGCAAGATATAATTACCTATCTCTGACACAGATCCAAGAATCAGACTTTTAAAAGTATGGTTGGAAGCTGTGCTATTCATTGTCTTCTGTAAATGGAGATGTCATGATCTAGATGATTATTTAATCAGGAAATGTCAGGTAAAGATTGGGGGATTGTTAGATAATTGCAGAATTGAGCCTAGCAAGGGCTTCCAGTGAGAGGAATTGATAGTACCATTCAGAACAGTCCTGGTTCCTCATATTTACTACTTACTAGCGTGGACAGAAGGTAAAACAGCTTGGAACTCCTCATTTGAACATCATTGGAATACAGTCCCTAGGATCACATTCTGGGTAACCCTGGGAATGCGGTTACAATCTCTCAGCCTAACTTTTTGAAGAGGAAATGGTGGAAGGGGGTTTCAGGTGTATCACCCTGAGTTCCATAGAGGAAAAAAAATGGAATCTGTGTGTAATAATAACATATGAATGGAGGTGAACAAATAATATTTTGTCTTCTTTCTTAGGCCATGAAGTACTTGTCATATTTACTATATCCATTGTGTATTGGAGGTGCAATTTACTCACTACTGAATAACAAATACAAAAGGTATTTAAATGTATAAAAGTATAAATTTATAAAAGTATAAATTTATTTCAAAAAACTTAAAACGTAATGGGTGAGAAGTGAGGGTAGTAACAGGATGCTGGCACAAAATACTTAAGAGTGTTTGGAACAAAAATAGATTGCAAAGAGAACCAAAGAGACTTCTCGAAACTTGGAGAAAGGTCATTGTAAGCAAGTGTAAGTTGATGCAAGTAGAGGCAAAAAAATCATGTTGGGCATGATTAGAAAATAAATAATAATAAAATTGTTTCTTTCATACAGCCCTTATTTCCATATTAGTACCTGTTTCAGGTGTTAATGCTGAACAGGGCTTAGAAGGAAGAAAGGACTATCAATGGGTACTGATCATGTTTGCTCTATAATCTCTGATATCATAGTTATTGTCCTGCTTGATGGCTTCCCAGAGGCATTTCCGTAGCTCTTATTTGAAAAGAATGACATTTTTTGTTTTCTTGCTGGCTAAATATTTATCTGACTTTGTATCTTCAGTAAATATTGCAAATAATGTAGATAGAATGAATGCTACGATCCTTTAAGCCAGCAATGGTTCATATCAGGTCACAACCAGCTTGTATCATAGCCATCAGGAATGTGTAGCAAAAGTGTTTCCAACTGTGGTTTCTGACTGTGCACTGTGTGCATAAGGGAAATTGCACAAGTGGTTTTTATAGTTTTTCTGACTGTTGTGCAGCTGGGCACACAACTGAGTGCACAATCTTGGTACTACATAGTATGTAGCAGACAGTTGGAACAATTGTGTATGCCAGCTATGCAATTTGGTTTGGTGCTTTACAAAGCACGTATTTCTGGCCAATCATTCTCTCTGTTTATTTTAAAGGTTACATCTTGGCAGCCAATGCTATACACTATATATGACCATGATTTCCAAATAGTAAATTCAAAATATGTAATCAAATGGATAAAGGGATGAAGCTGTTGTACAGATGATTTTTTAAAGTGTACAACACTTTACAACAAAACTTTTTTACATTTATATTTTTTACAACACTTCTTTTATTTTTATTTTTTCTCAATCTCCTGTCCTGCTACTTATAAACTGTTTTTGCACCATCCATTTTTTTTATTTTGCGAGTTTTTTATTGTCTTTGAATTTTATTTGTTATACTGCCCAGAATAGTGTTTTGCACTAATAGGGCAATCAATCAATCTTCTGTTTCTGAATTGTCCAGGAGTGAATATAGTTTTCTTTTCTTTCTTTCTTTTTTCCTTAGTTGGTATTCGTGGTTAATCAACAGTTTTGTCAATGGTAAGTTTGAGTTCTTTGGTTAACTGATTTGTTGAACTCTAAGTTTTTTAAAGAGAAGAATACGGACCAGGTTCTTTGAAACGTGGCATGTGAAATATTTGTCACATCAGCTAGATTGAAATTCTTGCAAGACTGGCACTTCAAATTGTGGGCAAATGAAATCCTAACTTAAATGATTTATTAAATAAATAAACCTTGAAAGCAGAAAATTAGGGTGTTAGAAATAAATGCTAACTATCACTAGAAGGTAGTGCTATGTGTGCAGGGAGCTTTTCATGCTGCAGACCATTCAAATGTTCCCTAGAAGTGTTCATTGCAGAAGTAGAGGCACACAGTTAATCCAAAATATTCCTAATTTCCCTGGAATCTTAGTATTCACATTCTTGAACAAAATTTCTATTCCAGTGGTCTGAAATAAAATAGCAAGAGATCACAGAAGAAGCAGAGGTGAAGGAAAAGGAGGCTGTACCACTGCAATTTTTATACCATCACATTTCTTTAATGTCATTCATGGTTTTCGCCAATTCATTTTGCAAACACCCAGTTGGTTACCTCATTCTCTTTCACGCACCACCACTTGGGTAGCTCTTCCAGTTCATCTGCAGCACTTCAGTATGAATAGAAGCCTAAGGATTTCAGTTACATGCACATTTAATGACAATGAGATGGGCAATCCAAGGAGTAGCCAAATGGCAGCTAATCCCTGCAGCTATTTGAATGGATCCTGCTCCCTCGCTTCTCATTTTCTGCAGCCAGATGGGATGGCTGCTACTTTGTTTCCCCGAAAATAAGCCCTAACCTGAAAATAAGCCCTTGTATGATTTTTCAGGATGCTCGTACTATAAGCCCAACCCCAAAATTAAGCCCCAGTTAAGTGAAACCCTGCCCTCCACCATTGTGCAGCAACCAGAAGATGACATGACTGCATTTGAATAAATGTAGATTGGTGTACATGAAAAAAAAAACTGAAACAAGGCTCTAATGTGGGTTTTTGGAGCAAAACTTAATGTAAGACCCTGTCTTATTTTGGAAGGAACACTGTACTAATTTACATTGCATACTTACTTGGAAGCCACCCTTATTGACCATTGTACTAATTTACATTGCATGCTTACTTGGAAGCCACCCTTATTGACCATATTGGGACAAAAATCTAAATACATTTGACTGCGTACCAGGATGTGCAAGCACATGCATTCTTGTGTCTGTAATGCTAAAAATTGAAGCATATTCATGTTTTCTTTTCCAACAGGTGTATATCAATGTAATGTGTCCTCAGTACATTTGACTGCGTATCAGGATGTGCAAGCACATGCATTCTTGCATCTGTAATGCTAAAAATTGAAGCATGTTCATGTTTTCTTTTCCAACAGGTGTATATGCTTTTGGATTTCTATTTATGTTGCCGCAATTATTTGTAAATTATAAGGTAACTGAAAGTTTAATAGAACATTTTAAGTTTTAATTTGTCGACTTGCCTTCACTGCTTTCGAGTACATACAAACATCTGGTTTATATATTTTTTTCTAGATGAAATCTGTTGCACATTTGCCATGGAAGGCATTCACTTATAAAGTAAGTTGATTTCACTTTAAAACATGTAGTCCTGTGAGATTATTTGTTTTTATTTACTTGAAAATAAAGCAGAAAGTAGATTTGCGTTCATTAACTTATAAAAGATTAATAGAAGAGTTACTGATCAATATCATTAGAGAAGCATCAGCAATGTGAGCAGACTTCAGTCTGCCGGTGGTTCCTGTGCCATTAAATGTGCTGTCTCTTTCTTCCAGGCATTCAACACTTTCATTGATGATATATTTGCATTTATCATCACAATGCCAACATCTCATCGGCTGGCATGTTTTAGAGATGATGTCGTGTTTCTGGTTTACCTTTACCAAAGATGGTATGATTTCGTCCCTTAGCAGTGCTTCAGTACTGCTTTGGATTTTGTTAGTCACATCTTAATAACTTTGGATATCGTAAGTGGATGAGAAAACTAGCTTTAAAACCTGAGTAAAAGGAAGCTGTTAATGTTATTGCTGACTTGACATTAAAGGACAAGCATATTTTCAAGGATAGATGAGACGTTATGTGGACATCCACAGTCCTGAAGGACACTGCCAGTCTCTCAACTTCTGTTTAGATTCCAAGCAATGAGCTCTTATAAAATCCTGCCACGGTTTCTAGAAGGAATATAGGTTGCCAGGTAGTTCCTTTCCCATCCAGCTACCTATATTTTCCCGTGTCAGTTCGATTGTACAGCTGCTGGCCAGGATTTTGTTCAGGCCTTTTAAGATTCCACCTCTTGACATTCTTATAGCGCTTTCCCCAACTCTGTGCCTTCTGGATGCATTAGACCACAACTCCCTTCATGGCCAGTAGCCATGCTGGCCAGGATGGTGAGATCTGCAGTCCAACCCACCTGGAGGGTACCATATTGGCAAGCCAGCTGCAATATGAGAGAGAAGAATGTAGGGATTATACATGGAGTAGCAGACTTGGCAGGAGTTGCAAGTGGCATGAGTAGCTGTCATTGCTATGCTGCTAGCTTTGGGTGTATCCCTTTGCTTTCCATCATACAAATGAGTGACAGTCATTCGTTGCTGGGTGTAGAAGTAAAACCACACTGCACTTAGGAATACAGTAGTGCAGCATAGACAAAATCTGACAGGAAGAGTCTAGCTTCTCTAAGGCTGTGGTGGTAGAAGGAAGCTATGTTCTTTCCCCCTTTTGAAGGGTATTTGGGGGAGTGTGCAGTTCTTGAGTAGAAGGTAGAAGTCATATTCTTGCCTTGTTTCTTTGACTGTGGAGACCAGGATGGATTGAGGAAAAACAAATGAGGACCACATTTTGACATCAGACCTGGCTTCACCTCTGGCGGTTGCCTTTCTGTTATCTCTTTTTCTTGCTAGAGTATACTTTTTTTTGCTACAAAATTACCATTATAATGACATTTAGATAAATTTTGATGCAAGCAGTTACATTATGTTGTTTTTAAAATTCATATTATTTATTAATTGCTCAATAAAAAGTGTAAAAGTTTGCAAAAATATGAACATGTGGAACCTTTAAAAATGTAATTGTTTCTTTTTATCCATAAGGCTTTATCCTGTGGATAAGAGCAGAGTGAATGAATATGGAGAATCCTATGAAGAGAAGCCAAAAAGAAAGCCCCACAAAGAATAATTTAAGATAACTCTAAGAGCCTCTTTGGACTGATACTGACTGCAAATGTTGTATGACTTTTAAAAGAGATGAAGCAAAAGAGTATTCTTCAAGGCTTGTGACAGAACTTAATGGACAATATATCATCTACATTGCCAAAACATGTTTTCATTGCCTGTGGATCTAACTATCTTCTTTTTTTTTCATTTGTGTATTCAGGGGTGTCAAGAAGCCTGCCAATACTTCTGCCAGGTTTCCCACAAAAACTTATCATTTTGAATTTCTGTGAGCATTTCTGCATAAATATCTGTGTCTGTTCTATTTATAGTCTTAAACCATCCCACTGACTGACGGTGTAGTACATACAGTATGTTTTAAGCCACCACTTAGACTGTGAGGAGGGAAATATTGTCAATAATTATGAAAAGGTGATAAAATGATGAATTCAGCCCTTGAATTTCAAAATTTTTGTACTCTGTTGGTACAGTGATCCAGCCAAACCCTTTTATGTTACAGTGAGAGAGAGTATGCCACATGCGCTTAGCTCTAGTTTGGAATTCAGCTGGGTTGAAAAATGGGGTTTTGGCTGGATTGTGTGCCCAATTTTGTATCTCCTTCCCTACTATGAGCAACTTTTTAAAAAAGACAAAAAAACTCTGGTAACTGATGAACTAGTTACTAGAAATTTTACCATCATACAAAGGCATGCACTCTATACTGTATCTGATAACAATTCTAATCTAGCACTGGACATGTAAAACTTGTAACTTTTTAAAAATGCATTTTTAAATTGCAAAATCTTATTAACAGAAGTCTAACTGAGCATGTGCAGTGAATAGCAACCGGTAGGGGTATTTTTTTTAAAACAAGGCCAAAATATTTTTCTGTAGTCTTAGAATTGGAATTTTTTTGATTCCTCCCAAACTGAACCCTTTTTCCTAAAGTGAGCCATTACGTTGTAGTCAGACATCTTTTTCAGAGGGTGTAAATACATATTTGCATGACACTATTGTGCCAATTATACATCGGCAGGGAAAATGAAGACTTTTTCTTACATTGACATAAACAATGTCTAGAATAAGTGGTTTTGATGCAACTAGTAAACAGAATGGAGGCATCAAGAGAAATTTATAGGAAGAAATTGTATTCAAAATTGCTAGAAAAACTATCCAAATGCCTTTTGTGTTTGGATATGGGGCTGTATGTAGCCTTTTGCAACTATCCTTTTTATGTCTGTATTCATCAAATAATGGCACTGCTTCTCCTGAAATATAATTTCAGCATGCTCAAAATGCAAGTGGGGAAAAATTCACTTCTGTTCAGGCATGAAACTGAAAAGAGGTGCAATCCTGCAAATCCTATTTTGAAGCTAATCCCCATTGCATTCCGTGGGATTCTTACTCCTGGACAATAATATACAAAGTTGCAGAGTTTTAGACCCAGATGCCTAACATTTTGAGCACTGCAGTACAAACAAGGACCTCCTATGCATGAAAAGGTATGGGAGCTCTGTGCCACTGGACCACTTGCCCGCCCCACCTGTAAAGGAATCACTGGATTTGGGGTGTAGAGCTTATCATGCCATGTCCCCTTGTGAATGTTTGATAGTGACCTTTGTTGCCAAAAGGTTTTGCATTTAATCTGAGTACCGATGCGTATTTTCTTCACTTCCAACAAGCCCAAGTTCACTGGTATTTGATTTTTCACAGACGATAGCAAGTTGCTTGTTGTGAGTTATTAGTGTGGGAACTTGATAATGGGTTGGAATCAGACTAAGACTGTCATGCTCTCGCCCCACTCAAAGTAATAGTACAGAATTAACTTACAAATTTCAATGGGACCAAAAATGATATATCCAACTCTCTGCCCAATAATCTTAATAAATAATATTGCCCCCCAAAACACTTCATTTCTTCTGTCAGCTTTACTTTTATTTATTTCTGTAAAACAGAATTTAAATCTCTGAAATGTGTCCAGGGTTAAACTGGTCCAAGCAAGACCAATTATTTTTAAGTCTGAACTATTAAAAATATTGCCTTGGCAGTAATAGTCACATTCCAAGTTTTTTGGCTGGGTGGTGTTTATAAATACAGAGTATCTGTGCTTAGCTGAATAATTTGCAGTGCAAATATTATTTGATTTAAATGAACATGTTTTGTTCTAAAGTTTGAATGGAGTGACATCGAATTGTCCTGTCAAAGCAGAGAGACCTGGTTAGCCTCTCGTCCAGTCAGTGCTTTGTTTCCTTCACTCTATGTACAAATAAATGTTTATGGATATACCTTAGGTTCCGATTATATTGCAGAAAAGTACTTTGAATATAATGGATCTGTCGTGCAACATCCTTTGAAAAATAAGTTCAGGCAAAAGTGGGGAAGGGGCAGGAGGCGATGCATCTACACAAATTCTTCTGATCTATTTTACAAAGATGAGATTTGTATGTTCTGACTGATTTACAAGTTGTGTGTCTTGTAAACGTTAGAGGTAATGTCATGGCTGACAGTAGATAATCCACTCAGGGCCCTGCTTCAACTATCACTTCATCCGTGAAGCAAGCCTGGGGGAGTATCATCCATCCATCCATCCATCCATCCATCCACCCACCCACCCACCCACCCACCCACCTACCTACCTACCTACCTACCTACCTACCTACCGCCCCATTAGTGAAAAAGCACTATTTTGCATGGTTTGGTAACAGATTAAAACACAATACAGAAAATGAAACAAACAATTAGAAAACCTAACACTATAAAACATCCATCTGTCTATCTGTCTATCTGTCTGTCTATCTATCATGCCGCCCACACTGCCCTAAGGTCTCTGGGTGGCTTACAACAATTTGAATTGAATAAAAACATCAAAAGATAAAAGCAATTAAAATACCATTACAAATACAATGCTTTAAAAATTGCCATCAGGACACATAGTTGATATAATTTTAATTAAAAACCTTCAGGAACAGGAAGGTTTTGACCTGGCGCCAAAACGTCATCAATATCAGCGCCAGATGAATCTCCCTTAGGATAGCATTCCATAGTCTGGGGGCGGCTGCTGAAAAGGCCCTTTGCCTCCAAGCTATCCCTCTTACTTCCTTGAGGGATGTTTCTTTCAGGAGGGTCCCCTGGCTAAATATTGTCAGGTAGGTTCATATAGAAGGAGGTGGTCCTTCAAGTGGCCAGGGCCCAAGCCGTTTAGGGCTTTCTACATCAAAACAAGCACTTTGAATTGCTACTCCTTTGCTGTTCCATGTATGATTAAGGATACTGAAAGGTTTTGTTGTGTATAGGAAATATTACATACACATACCTTTATTGTTTATATCCCATACTTCCTATAAAAAAAAACAAGACCTCATGTTACAGCATGGAAATTATTCTCATTTCCTCTGCAAGAACCAAGTGAGAACTCAAGCCAATTCAAACTACTTTATTGAAGGTAGACCGGTAAAGCAGGAATGGGGAAACCTTCACCCTCCAGGTGTTTTAGACTTCAATTCTCAGAAGTCCCGGCCAGCATAACCAGCAGTAATGAATTGTAGGAATTCATAATCTAAAACCCTAAAGGTTGTTGTGGGGGGTTTTCGGGCTCTTTGGTCATGTTCTGAAGGTTGATCTTCCTAATGTTTTGCCAGTCTCTGTGGCCAGCATCTTCAGAGGACAAGGGTAGCACTCTGTGCTCTGGTGTAGTTTGTTTGGGAGTTGAGTATTTATAGCTGTTAGATCAGCTTTTGTTCTTTTCAGGAGATGGGAGATTATGGTGATCAGTGTGTTTTTGTTGTGGGTGGATTGTTTTGATAAGGAGAGATTATCTGTCACTGTGATTGATGGGTGTCATTAGCTGATAAGAAGAGAACTCTCCTTAGAAAAGACGCTGATGTTAGGAAAGTGTGAAGGCAGGAGGGGAGGGGGACGACAGAGGATGAGATGTTTGGACAGTGTCATCGAAGCAGCCAGCATGAAATTGACAGAACTCCGGGAGGCAGTGGAAGATACGAGGGCCTGGCGTGCTCTGGTCCATGGGGTCACGAAGAGTCGGACACGACTAAACGACTACACAACAACAACAGTGATCACCAATCCTTGTGGCTGGGTAGAGTTTGTTGACCTTTTGTTTGTTTGTTCAGTCATTTAGTCGTGTTCGACTCTTCGTGACCTTTTGCAGGCTGTATTTTTCAGTGCTGGGAGCCAAGCTTTGTTGTGTTTTAAACTTTCTTCTTTTTTGTTGAAGCCCTGCTGGTGTCTGTGGATTTCAATGGCTTCCCTGTGCAGGTTTTATTTCTCTAAGATGATGTAAATGGAGAGTTTACAGAATAAGGAGTTACCAGTGACATCAAGCAAACAACAAGCAAGCAGACTTCTGGGGATCACCCTCTTTCCCAGCCTCTAGAAGAACATTTCCCGGCATGGACAACAACCATGTCAAGAAACTTGTAAACTTCCTGAGGGAGTTGAGATACATTTACCATAGAAAGCCGATAATCTACCTGAGTCTTTCAGAGGTCCTATAAAGGTACATATCGCCTGTTCCTGCATTTGCATTGTTTTCTCCTCTCCTGTCTCCCCACCCCCGGCTCTTTCCCTCTTCCAAGGCAGCGGTACCCTTTCTCTCTCACTCTTTTTAGCCTTTAAGAGAGTTGGGCGCGCTCGGAACAGACGCTTCCTTGCTTGCAAGCGGCGGCGCCGAGCATTTTGCTTTCCTGGCAAGAGGGCTGTGGGTCCACAGAACTCGCATACCAAAACAAAGCTCAGGGAAATGGGGGCGACTCTGCTTGCGCGCCCCGACCCATTTTCAAAAGCAAGGCTGGCGTTTAAAATAAACCCATCAGCCTGAAAGATGCCTCGCGACTCTTGTTTTGTTTTGCGGCAAAAGAGTCACCGGGGTATGCTGGGTTCACACGTAGCCGCGCACCGGCTTCGCAAGTAAAGAAAGATGAGGAATCGCGAGTCGTCTTAAACCGAAAGGGAAAGAAAAGGGGCATCTCCCTGGCGAGGAAAGGAGAGCGGGCGGAGCTTATCGGGCAAAATCCAAAGAAACAAAAGACAAAAACACGTGGCACCTTAAAGACGAACTATAATATTTTAAGGTGAGCTTTCGTGGGCACCCTTTGTCGGACGTGCCCACAAAAGCTCACCTTAAAATATTATAGTTCTCCTTTTAAGGTGCCACATGCTTTTGTCTTTTGCCGCGTTTTGCTTCCTTTCTTTGCATTTTGCTTCCTAGGCTTGCACAGACCGGCAGGGCGACCTCTTCCACAACCCCACCTCTTTCTAAAGCTGTTCCTCCGGTTGGCCCCGGGGAGGTGGGGGGCATTCGCGGCGCCTTCTGGCAGCGAGGGCGGAGCCCGCGCGAGGCTTTTGCCGGCCTCGCCGGCGACAGACCCAAAGGAAAAGGCGGGAGAGGGAGGCCTGCGAAGCCTTCGGACCTTTCCGCGGGCTGCCGGAGGGGCGGTCCCCGCAGCACCCCCAGCAGCCGGAAGGCGGGAGCTGAAAAGGATCTGGGTCCCTGGGACTGTGCGTCGCCTCCCCCTCTTGCCTGCCCGTTCCCCTTCCCCGGGGGAGCCGTTGTTTCCCCCCCTCATGGGGCGCCCCCGGCGCTGGAGAGCCGTGCAAGGGCTGCTGCGGAGCTGTTACGCGGAGGTGCTGCCGCTGGAAGCCTTCGTGGAGCGCTTGCAAGGGCAGGCGCAGGCCGAGGGCCCGTTGGTGCCGCTGGTGCAGGAGGGGGACCCGGCGTGCTACCGTCACCTGGTGGAGCGGTGCCTGGTGGGGCGGGCGCCGGGCTGCAAGGCTCTCCCCTCGCGGGTTGTGTTCCAGCAGGTAGGAGGCTTTCCGCTGGAAGGGAAAGGAAACGGTGCTGGGGCGGTGTGTGTGTGTTTGTGTATGTGTGTGAAGCACTCCGACGCTGCTTGTGGGTTTTGGGACTACAGTCCCCATTGTCCCCCAGCCAGCATAGTCAGAGTTCGCTCGGCTTGAGGGACGCCTGGAAAAGAAGTA